TTTTTTTAAATTATTATATTCAATCAATATGTTAGTATAAAAGGGGCTAAGAAAAAGTTTCACAGTGATTTGCTCATTATTTTAGTCACTGTAAGGTTTCAAAGTGTTTGAGTCAAAAACAGGTATTTTGACTCTGGGAATTTAGCAGTAAATATCCCGGGAGTGAAAGGGTTAAGCGTAATCCAAGCATTCAACAATCGAAAATCCAGCCAAGCAAACATTTCCACTCACTATTCTCCCAGTGATCTTGTTGAGATCATTCGACAAGTATTCTAGGTACAGCTTGGTATGAGTCAAGTTTTACAGAACATCTATGAAATTGCCAGGCTGGATATAAAACAATAAGTGCACATAATATGATAATTTATTAGTATATTTCCAATTCCATACAAATTTAAAATATTCACAATTTAAACTAAATTAAATTAGTTTTAAGTTAGTTTTAAATTAATGAACAATAAAGAGCATCCAATATGCTCACCGTTCCATATGCAATAAGCAAATCAAACGATTCCTTTGCAGTTAGGCGCTTCTTTCCTGTCATCGGCAACATGTTTATCAATGCTTTAACAGCACTATTATCTATTTAGAAAATATTTACCATTTGTGGGAAGGAAAAGTAACATAGTATTTACTGTGGATGAGATTCTTCAATCTCTGATGGATGAGATTCTTCAATCTTTTTCTGCCAGCAGCAAAACGTTATCTTTGCTGCTAGTAGGAGATATTTACCAAACACTGATGCAGAAGAGGTGGTTAAATTGACCATTTTGCTTTTCATATCTTTGCCTGCTGTATAGCAGGCAAAGATATGAAAGGCAAAATGGTCAATTTAAAACATAAAATCTAGCCTTGTTACAGGTATCTGTAACAAGTCTAGATTTTATGTTTTATGCAACACAGTGTGAAATTAATCTTCAATAAAAAGCATGACCTGCATGAATGAGTCTATGCAGTACTCATTAGTTAAACAGTTATTTCAACACAAACAATTTAAGCGCATTTTAGATTTGAGTCTGTTATACTAATTACCTTTACAGAATTCCTCCAATTCTCTACAGCAACCTGTAAAAATGAATGCATCATTTTGTAGAACAGTTGTTATCAATGAGTTCGTAAAGGGTGAATTGGACAGTATTTTTACTTAATTTGGATATAAGGAAATAAATTTCCTTATATCAAGGAATATATTTTACTACGGTAAAGGAAATTTTTAAGGAAATTTTTTCCTCAATATGTGAAGAAAGATTTTATTTAAGTGTACTTATTATTATATAAAAGTTTTTTTTTTCATCATAAATTACTTTTATTTTCATCATAAATTACTTTTATTTTCTGAATTTTGCAAAGTTTGCATTAAAAATATGAATAAAATGTTTCAGATTCTTTAAGCTTGTCTATTGCTTGAAATTATTTTTGTGTTATATTTATTGTTATTAAATTATTATTCTTTTTAAGATTCTGTTAAAAAAACTCTTTCAAACCCAAAAAAAACTGGTAAAAAAAACGGAGAAGACTATATATATATATATATATATATATATATATATATACATATATATATATATATACACTCTTAAAAAAGGTTAAATTGACGGAAATTTCAGGCAAAATACCTGAACTACTTCGTGCTGTATGGAACCAGACGAACATTCAGGTAAAATACCTGAACCTGAACTGTTTCAGGATTTCTACCTGAACCTGAACTGTTTCGGTTCCGGTATTATGCCTGAACCTGAACCAGTTCAGGTTCAGGTAAAACACCTAAACCTGAACCTGAACCAGTTCAGGTTCAGGTATTTTACCTGAATGTTCGTCTGGTTCCATACGGCACGAAGTAGTTCAGGTATTTTGCCTGAAAGAGTAAATATTCCAAATCGCGATTATAAACTAACTTGGTTTAAGCGTAAAAGCGGTATTAGTTTTTATTAGGCCTGAAGATAGTAAAAATTCAAAATCGTGATTATAAATTAACACGGTTTAGTTGTAAAAACGATATTTTATTTTCAGAAAGTCAATATATTTAAAAGTATAATTTATACAAATTTACGCAATATAGCAAAAACAATGCATATAGCAAATAATAACCAAAATATAATTGTTTCTGCGTTTAAAATTGATTAAGTTTTTGTCTAAGGTAAAGGGACAAGTCACTCGCTCCTCTCGATAGATGCATTTCATCTTGGTAACCTAACACGGTATGCTGCAAAAAGTACAATATGTGGCTACATTGTTCCGCATACTCCATGTTCATTAAAAAATAAAGTTTAATTAAGATGTCAACAGCATAAGATATACATCTGTTGACAGGAATAGCTCGACACTCTGTAACAATAAATAATTGACCGACACTGCAATGAGTACCCAAAGCTATGACTAACGGATGCTTGTGAGTAAGACTTTGAAGCACAATTTCCATCGGAGTTGATGCCTATTTAGATGTAGAAATGAAATTAAAATAACTCATTAAAAAAGATAATTTTGATACAAAATAAATATAAATGTCAGCCCATTAGAACTAATACTATAGTATTAGTTCTAATGGGCTGACATTTATATTTATTTTGTATATATATATTTACTATAATGAATGATGCACAACTTTTATTCTTTGATGGTACTTTAATTATAAAGGGGAGTAATAACAATGCAAAATCCATTTCAATTCCTGAATTAAAAATAAAATAAAAGTTTAGTGAAATCATTTTATCAATTTATAATTTATTAGAATGGTTTTAGATATCTATAATACACCCAGCCATATTGTTTAGATAACACTTACGTACCAATAGAAGGGTTGTCTTGCATATCAAGCTCAGCAAGAATCTGCTTGACCATCAAATTTGTCTTTTGCCTTGCCCAAGAGATAACATGTGGCGTTATTAACTCCCATTGAGCCAAAAAATCATTCAACTCTGCGAAATTGCAACAGAAATCTTTCTGAAACTAAGATAGGAATATAGTATAAAACTGTTAGTAAAATTTTCTTTCATTTTATAATATTTCAACAAAACCTAATGTCTAATATATAAAAATTACAAGATGTATCTTTTATGAATTACAAGACATTTCATTTTTGTGTTTGAATAATTTTAAATATTTATTGGTGAAAAGTTTGAATGATAATACGATGATTTTTATTCTTACGTGTATGGATAGATCTTTTAGTGGCGGAAATGTTTTGAGTAAATCATCAAATGTTGGCCTACAATTCACAATCCATTTTCGACGAGAGCATGAAGTTTTTTCCATATAGTCCAACTTTTTTTCATAGCCTAAGTCATCAAATCTCAAGTTCTTCTTTTGAAAAAGGTGCTAAAAAAAAAAAATTTATAAATTAAAAATATTTTACAATCTTTAGATATATTTAAAATGTTTTTTTTAGCTAGTTGTTTATTTGCTAATTGTTTATATAATTTATTAGGAAAACTAATTACAATATTGAGTATTAGGTAAATGTCTTAATTAAATGAAGAAAGAGCGCATGAAAAATATACTAAGCATTAAAGTACCTGATGAGTGGAACTCTTCTGCTAAAACAATAACTCTCTTTTGACGAGCTTGAACATGAACACCAACACGTTTACGCATAGTTTTCAGTCTCTCTTCTATGTGGCCATGAGGAGTGACCTTCTTTTTCTTATTACCAATTACAAATTCTGTATATGGACTATAATAGTTTTCCTAAAAATAATATTTTTTTGTAAAATTAGATTTCATTACCTCATAGACAACTTGACCTATAATTGACAAATTGTAAAGATACTACTACTTATAACAATAATAAGTTTACACTAGTAATAATTAGTATCCTCCTCGACTGAAGTGGCCCTTATTTTTGGGAGGAAATATATAAGGGGAAAAAATTAGTAAAATGTCTCTAATAGTCTCACATATCCAAGTTTTTCACCAGAATGCAGCTTTGGAAAGGCAGTTATAATTGCTTTTGCAAGATTAGATTTGGTTTTTGTGAAGGATACCTAAAACATATATATTAACAAAAATATTTTTATATTTAAAATTTATTATAAGCAAATGTTTGATAATTTTTATAAATAACTTTATAAATAATTTGTTATAAACTAATATTTTCATTGTTATGTCAATAGTTCCATAATAATACGGAAATAAACATAAACTTACATATTTCCAACTCTATGGACCATTGAGTTAACAACAATGTGGATCATATCTTGACGCCTTTTAATAAGTGCACCTGTAGAATCATATTCTGCCAAAACAAGCTTACCTATTTGATGCTCATCAAGCAAACAACGTATGTTCTACATAAAAAGAAGATCTTCATTTGTATAAGTTGAAAATTTATTTTTTTAAATTATAAAAAGAATTTATTTAATTGCTGAAATAATGTGGTGTAAAATAATGAACTAAGTATAAACAAAACACTTAAAAAAATAAGTTATATTATAAGTTATAAGGTATACTTACAAAGTCAATGTTATCCAATCTTAAAGCAACCTGTACATCAGTAGTAGAAACATTTAACTTAATTTTTCTTGACTCGTTTAAAACGTCAGGTGAAAGTTGAAGTGTTGATGATAATGTTGGTGACACAGCTGACTCATCAAGGGGGCTGTTTAAAGTTTCAGTTAAACTGAAAGCTATAGCTGTTGTATCTTTTAAACATGTTACGTCTTTTAATACACTATCGTTTTTCTACAAAAAAAAGCAGTTTATATTTACTTCCGTTTATTAAAGGAATAAAAATGTATTATAATCATATATATATATATATATATATATATATATATATATATATATATATATATATATATATATATATATATATATTGTTTTGGACACGTTATAGTGAGTTATAAATACTTTTAGATTTTGTTTATTTAACCAAACTATTTTTAGCAACTTAGTAATAAGCTTTTCTTTAACTGCTATCTTAAGAATTGAGAATTAAGTAAAATATACAAATTAATAAAACTAAAAAATCATTTTAATACATTGCAATGATACAAATGGTGTCGTAAAATAATATGCTTGTATATACATGTAGGTTTTAAACAATGAACAGCATCAAAAGGTTTATAATCTGCTAAGTCACTTGCTCTCAAACATACACGCTCTGAATCGAGAGAACAACAATACGATAGAGTCAGATCACAATACATGTGGACAAGCCACTTAAGTCCAATAAAATAAATTACACTGTGATGAACATATATTTGTTCAATTTTAACAAATGACGGTTCACCTTCATCACTAATAGAGTGAAGTAAAGAGATCTTAGTTTGGTACTTTTGACCAAAAATGACTACTTTTTCAGTCATAAACACATCTATTTTTCACCAATAAAAGGTAAAATTAATGACTTATGCTTAATATCTGGCGATGAAATAATTGTACCATTTCCAACTTCTGAAATCCCCTTTAATGGACATCTAGTCATCCAAACAAAAGCATGAGAAAGTTGGTGTCTGCTTGCGAGAGAAAACGCTATATTTTTAAAGTTAGAAATGATATGAGCAAGACGCTTAGAAAAGTTATGCTTAGCTTCAAACCGCATTACCATCATATGTAAAAGTGGTCCGCTATTCTCTATTATAGTACCATAGTGAACCATTCTGTGATGTTTGTATAAAAGTCTTTTATCAGGATAACATATTTTAAATAACTCATGATGCTCTGATACAAGATCTTTTAAGTACAAAACATGCGACAGTACAGAGTTTGGCAATAAAATATTTTCTGTCAGCTGTTTTAGCAATTGGTACAAACGCCATTTTAAAGTATCTACTTTGTCAATAACATCAGCTAAAATACATGGTAAATGTAAAAACAAAATCAGCATCTGAGCTGACCTTTGTCCAAGCAATGAGCTGTGACTTTTTAAATGTGACTCACTTATAAAACTTGGCTTTGAGTTACTAACCAAACCATAATCCATTGTATTAATACGACAATTAAGCCCATGGAGATTAATAAGCTTTAAGTCATAAATTATGTGGCGCAAAAATAACTTGACTTCAAACGGAATTACACCTTCAAACAAATCATGCATTATATCGGCTGAGTCATTACAAGCAGGATGGTAATAGTTCAAACTTTTTAAAGTTGAGGGACGCTTTATGCCACACTCTTTAGATAAAATGGTACCATTATTAAGCTGCTCAATATGTTGCTCATATGATTGTTGTGTCCTCATTGTAAGAGAATATTCACAAAATACTTTTTGCATCTCATCCTGAGTTGCCATACACAAGTCACAAGCAAATGAAGCACTGCTAAAATTTTCCTTGTATCCAAGAATTGCATGTAGCCCTAAATTATCACCAACAACTTGTGTTAAAAAACAACGAATATTTATCTCTTTTCCATCACAAAAAACAGTAAAGCCCTCATCATGTAAGTCTTTTAATTGCTGAACAATAACTTCCATAACAGTATCAGTGGTGTACCGTTTAATGTCTTCCGAATGTGCCAAGGCCAACAAATGAATATTGCTTAATGCAGAATTTGCAGCTGGTGGAAAGTTTTTTATTGTGAAATAAAATGCACCTAACTTATGTATTCCAGTTTTGGATCCAAGCGGATTTGTTGTCTCTACCTCATCAAAATAAATCTGAATAAATACATGAATACTGTTAGGAAAATAATGTTTGGCATATGTTTTTAGCTGTCTCCCATGCTTACCGTCTAACCAATCTTCTGCTATATCATTTGCTGACTCATTGTTTCTTTTTAAAATTTTCCAAGTCTCAGGTTGTCGCAAAACCAATTTCAAAGTTTTCTCAATTGGTATAAGGTAAAATTTATTTTTTACACACACCTGCATTTTTTGCTTTGTTGATCTGTCTCGCTTAACATCCCACCGATCTCCTATTGAATGTGCTTCAGGTTCAACATAGAGACCTTTTACTTTAAGATAATTCAACATTTTATAATGAGTATCAATGCCTTTAAAAGGATTTTTCCAGTTGTTAAATTCTTCTGAAAGAGTGTTAAATGTTGCGGCATCACATCTGTATGTTTTTAACACAACGTCTGTCTTGGCAAGCAGATAATTAATAATATCCTTTAACAACTCATTTAAACTATCCATTATGAACTGAGATACGCTTAGAGAAATGGAACTAGAAGATTGCAGAGACATCAAAAATTTTAATGCTGCGTGTGAAACACCATACTCGTCTACAATAGGTGCAACAAAAACACTTTCTTTTGCTACACTTTCTTTTGTTAAACTTTCAGAATATAAAACCTCATTGTAATCTTCAGCTAAGTATTCATTTTCTGTATTTTGGATAGTAATATCTGAATGTTTATCAACTTCTTTCAAATTATTATGACACATATGAGTTTTTTTAATGTGTTTACGTAACACTTTATAAAGTGTGAATGTGCGCATGCAGCCATCAGCATTGCATCGTAAAAAACAAGGTTCAAACAACAGGTGCGTGTTTCTTAAATGATAAGTATAATCATTAGTGGATTGAAATTTTTTTGTGCACAAGTAACAACTCAGTCGTAAAAATCCCTGAAAAATATCATGTAAAATATAAAAATAATGTTACACTAATGCATTAATTTAATCATCATAATTTATATTTAACTAAAAATATATTTTTAATAAAAAATAAATAATATTTTCTGAGCTCCATATTTTATTATAATTATATTTTTCACCTTTTTTCCTTCAATTATGGCTTGAATTTTAATGGCCTGGCCCATTTTGATGCCCATTGCATGCAGCAATAATGCGTTCAACTCCAAAAAAGCTGTCCCGTCAATTTCTTCATCTAAAATAATATCAATAGTATATTTAGTAAAAGAACTATATATCTTTGTTTTAATAGAGTTAAAAGACACTTTTTCATATTTTAATACAATTTATACAGTTTATAACCAGTTATATTTTGGACTAATTATTGCAACCAGCACTTTATAAAAATAGTAGAATTCAAAAATCCAAGTGCACATCTATTACTTATTTACTTTAATTATTTACTTCTTTTTTTTTTACAAACTTAAACTTAGTTGAACTAAGTTAGACTTTGTAAATTTAACATATTATTATAATATACTATATCGATATGATAAATAATATAAATATATTTTGACATCTATACACATCACATTCTATATGGTGTTTATCATAAAAGTTATGTAGTATGTGATGTGTATAATTTATAAACTTTATAAATAAAAAGATATACATACAATGAAACTTATAAATTTCATTGCATGCACATCTTTTTATTTGTAAAGTTTATAAATTATACACATCACATAATACATAACTTTTATAATAAACACCATATAGTCTATAGTCACATTCTGTATTTATTCTGTATTTAAATCACAATTATTTATCATATCGGTATAATATATTATCATAATATTATAATATACTAGTATATTAAATAATATAATATAATAGTATACTACAATATAATATTGAAATAGTATACTATATCGATATCATATTGTATACAATATATCGATATAGTATACTATTTCAATATTATATTGTAGTATACTATTATATTATATTATTTAATATACTATTATTATCTAATACAATACTATTATACTATTATTATCTAATATACTATATTATTTATAATATAATTATAATGATAATATATTTATCATATTAGTATGATATACACTATATATAGTGTATATCATACTAATATGATAAATATATTATCATTATAATTATATTATAAATAAACTATTTATATAATATATTATCATGATATATATATATAGTATATATGTATAGTATATACAGTGATATATAGTGACATGATATATATTATATATATATACTATATATTAAATAGTATATATGTTAATAATATGATATACTATATCATATGTTTATATCTTACCTTCTTTATATCTATACACTCATACATACATGTATATAATTCAAATATGTCTTGAGAGCAAGAGAAGTGTATATATAGTATATAGAGAAAGAGAAGTGTATATATAGTATATATAGTATATATACACTACTCTTGTTCTCAAGACTTTATATATTATATACACAATACACATCTCTTTTACGTACGTACGCGAAATATTTTCGGAAAAAGATGAAAAGGTAGCTTACTTTTAAGCTTTTCTGTAGCATCTATAGATATTCCTTTTAATAACAAATACTCTGATAACTGTAACTCTGACAACTTTTTAAAGCTCATTTTTATTAAAAAAATTTAAAATAAGAGAATGCATGCACATGCGACCTCTAAAAAGTTTAATGGCGATTGCCGCTGGCGCGTATAATCTTTTTACATTTTTAGGCAATTTACTTGATGTTTCCGGTAAAGAACCTGAACATTCCGGTAGAAAAGTTCACGAAACTACTTTTTCCTGAACATTTCAGGAATTTTACACAAGTGTTCAGGTGGTTTGCTAAAATACCTGAACTTTTACGGCAATTTGCCTGAATGTTTGAATTTAATTGCCTGAATGTTCAGGTAAATCTTTCTACCTGAACCATTCCAGCCAGAGTTTGCCTGAACTTTTTTAAGAGTGTATGTATATATATATATATATATATATATATATATATATATATATATATATATATATATATATATATATATATATATATACATATATATATATATATATATAAATATATATATATATATATATATATATATATATATATATATATATATATATATATGTATAATATATATATATATATATATATATATATATATATATATATATATATATATATATATATATATATATACATATTTTTTTTTTTTTTTTTTTTTTTTTTTAACATCTTCACTTCCAACAAGGCTGCAAGCAACCACTATAAGAGTTGGAAGTTACTGGAAGAGAAAAGACTAAATCTGTAGAGCAAGATAACGATTGACTGATGACTTAAAAGATTGCAAATTATATGAATCAGGAAAGCAAGATGAAGGAAGCGAATTCCAAAGAACTGATGTTCGAGGAAAAAAACTAGAAGAATAAGAGTTTTTGAAGCACTTAGGAACAGTCACAGAAAAAGGATGAGACTTAATTGAATGGCGAGTAACACGAGAATGAATTTTAGTAGATGGCACAAGGGACGCTAGCTCTTTAGAGCAGTGCCCATTATAGTATTTGTAGAAAAGAGAAAGAGAAGCAACATTACGACGATGTGACAAAGGTTGGAGATTGGCTGCCAGAGCAGGTCCAACTATGTTTACAATTCGTTTTTGCACCTTGTCTAAAAGAGAAAGAGCATCATTAGAAGATCCGCCCCAGATGTGGCAACAGTATTCCATACAGGGACGGATTTGAGATTTATAGAGATAGAGAATAGAATCTGGAGTAAGAAAGTGTCGAGCTCGATAAAGAGATGCAACCTTAGCAGATGCTAATTTTGCAATGGATTTGATATACGGTTTAAAAGAAAGATCAGAAGTAAGAGTTAATCCTAGAAGATGAATGGTAGATGACTCATCTAGTACATTACCATTCATAAATATAGGAAGATCTAAATTATTACGATAACGATTGGCCGAATAAAATTGAGTTTTATCTGAATTAAAGTTCACCAGCCACTGTGAGCCCCATGCTGTAGCAGAAGTGAGATCCTTTTCAAGCTCAGATACCCCCTCCAAGCAATCAGAGAGTGTAGGCTTCTTATCATGACAAGAGTAAATGGTAGTGTCGTCAGCGAATAATGCCACCTTAGATGTGAGAATATCTGGAAGATCGTTAATGTAAATTAAAAAGAGTATAGGGCCAAGGATTGAACCTTGAGGAACCCCTGAAGTTACAGGATGTGAAGAAGAGTGTTGTCCATCGAGGACAACTTTTATACTACGATTGGAAAGAAAGGACTCAATAATCTTAAAGATGTTACCAGCTACACCATAAGAAGAAAGCTTATGGAGAAGACCAGCATGCCAAACTTTATCAAAAGCTTTAGAAATGTCAAGTGCGATAGCCTTAACCTCTCCACCTCTATCTAATGCACGGTAAAACCTATCGGTTATTACTGTTAGCACATCAGCTGTAGAACGAGAAGACTGAAATCCATATTGATGATCAGAAAGTAAGTTATTTGATTCAAGATGAGAGATTAAGTGTTTGTTGATTAAAGATTCAAAAACCTTGCTTATGACAGGAAGAAGACTAATGGGACGGTAGTTAGATGAATCAGATCGCTCTCCGGAATTTTTGAAAATAGGGATAACAGATGCTGCTTTCCAGCATGATGGAAAACAAGACTCTGATAAGCACTTGTTAAATAGTTTAGAAAGTATGGATGAAAGCTCCGGAGAACACCTCTGCAAGACTACAACAGGAATGTTGTCAGGACCACAAGCTGTTGAAGAGTCTAAGCAGGAAATTACTTTAGATACAGAAGCTGAAGTGATGCGAATGTCAAGCAAGGGATCAACCTGTTTGACGGCTATGTCAGGTAAAACGCAACTAGTGGAATCAAGAGATGATGTTGATGAAAAGTTTTTAGCAAACAATTCAGCTTTGTCTTTAGGTGAGGTGACAAAGTCTGAACCATACAAGAGAGAAGGAATAACAGATTTGCCCTTATTATTGATACTGTTAAAGATTCTCCAGAAGTCTCGAGAGCCTAATTTTTGTGATGAGATACGAGATTTAATGACCTGGGAATAGCGAGCTTTGGCGTCAGACAAAACCTTTTTACAATGGTTTCTGGCGATAGTGAACAGATGTCTGTTTTCTGGAGAATTGTTTTGCTGATAGATATGGAAGTAACGGTTTCGATTAGAAATTGCTGCAGCGCAATGTGAGGAAAACCAAGGAGAAGAGTGAGGCTTGACCTGGAATCGTCGAGAGGGAATAAAAGATTCCATGCCAGCCTGAATCCACGAAGTTATGTAAGAAGCACATTTGTCAGCAGGAAGACGAAAGATTTCTACCCAAGGGCCATCACGAAGAAAATCACGGAAAGAGTCCCAGTCAGCTTTAAGGTAGTTGTATGTGGTACGATGATAGGGGGATTCTGATGAAGTAGAAGAATTTGATAATAGTTTTAGAGAGATCAAACCGTGATCAGAAGTACCTAAGGGTGAATGTGGAGAAATTGAGCACTGACTAGGATCCAAAACAAGACATAAGTCGAGTAGAGAAGGTAAATAATTAGGGTTGTCTGGAAAACGAGTTGGAAAGTTGACTATTTGAGTTAGAGATTGAGAAAGGCAAAAGTTGAGGGCCTTAACGCCAGCAGAGTCACTGACACTAGAGCCAAGCCAATCGGTGTGATGGGCATTAAAGTCACCAACAACGACAATATTGGCCGATGGATAAAGAGAGAGGGCTTGGTCAATTTGATCAGAAATAACATCAAGGATAGTGCAATCTTGGGATGAAGGAGAGCGATATAGAACAAAGAGAAAGGCGATAGAGTGAAGTTGTGCTAAACGAAAGCACATAAATGAATAGTCTGTAGATTCAAACCTAGTTTCACGACAAATGGGTGAGTTCTTACGAATGTAGATGCCCAGGCCAAGCATGTGATTATTGGAGTCTTTACGAATTAAAGGAAGATAACCATCAACACTAAGATCACAAGATGGGACAGCTGAACTCAAATTAGTCTCACAAAGAGCAAGTAGGTCTGGTGAACTTTGCAAGAGATAAGACTCAACAGAAGAAAAGTTACTTCGAAGACCACGAATATTAGTAAATGATAGGTTTAGAGAACTTGGTGATGACAATGGTTTTTTGTGTTTTTTAGTTTTAGGTACTTTAGTCATTTTAAATTTATAAAGAACTTGACTCAAGTATAGATAGTACTCAGTACACTATTTAACAACTAAGCAATAGCCTCATTACTATTAATAAACCCTAAGCCGTAACAAAGGGCTCCAAATGTGGCCTCTGCAATGCACACCAAAAGTACAAACAGGGACACCATCCATGCGCAACATGGCACTGTTAGTACTCTGATATTTTTCGGCTGTTGATGGAATCAGCCTCTCTGAGAGCTACCACAGAGTTCGGGAAACCTGACTACCAGCCGGCCTCAGAACCATAAAACTGAGTTTTAGAGCTGTACCCTCATTAGGAGATAATAGAATGAGTTGCCCAGTCATAAAAATAGAGACACAAGCAATACCCACGCATTGAGTCAAGAAGATCCAGCGTTCAACATCCTAAACTGGAAACAATGTATTAAAAATACATCTGCGCCAGCCTAATAGATGAGGAAGGGGTGCGAGGCTGGTCAACAGATAGAATCTGTTTACCCCTTAAGTCTTTGCCTAGGAGGCCTTCTACAAGACAGCAGCTGGATGCATGTAACATCTGCCCAAGATGAGTATTTTTATGGAGACACCATCTCTAGCCTTTACTCAACCAAGAGCCCCAAGGCAGGGGGTGTTTTAAATCGGAGTTAACTTCTCCTAGCCTTTGCCTAAAAAAGCGTATCCTACAAGGCAGCAGGACATGGAGCAGGTTGTACTGGGTTACATGTTACCAGTAGCAGGAAAACCTGACCTGACCTACATATATATATATATATATATATGTATATATAAGAGGGTTTTTTGGAAGAACCTTACAGTAAGGTTTTTTAAAGAACCTTTAAGGGTTCTTCGTGTTTGAACCATATGAAAGGGTTCATTGGATAAACCTTAAATTAAGGTACTTTAAAGAAGCCGTTATAGTTCTTCATAGAATCGTTCATTGTTTTTGCATTATTGTTAACGTTGCACAGATACTTTTTTGAATTCTTGAACATTTTTTATTGTTAAATATTTATATAATAATTATTTAATAGATTTTTAATATTTAATTATTCTTATTCAAGCAAGTTTCTTTAGGCCAAAATTAAATTGTAAACACGACTTTCCTAAAAATTCAATATATACTGCAATATATGGCAATAAAGAAAAGAAAAACTATTTTTAAACAATTAATATAAATATAATATTTTCAAACAGTTTCAAACACAAAAATTTTATTTTACAATCCAATATGTCTATGTTTATAAAAATATGTCATCAATTATAAAAAAAGTTCTCTAGTGTTAAATCCATTGTCCAATATATAAATGTTTTAGCTTGATATTAGATGTACGAATAAATGTGAGATTTCTGAAGTCGCATTTGTTTGAAGAATCATCAAAAATTCTATAATGAAATGAATATATATATATATATATATATATATATATATATATATATAATATATATATATATATATATATATATATATATATATATATATATATATATTGAAAGATGACATCTTTTATGAGAGTATATTATATATTACTTTAAAACTTCAAGAAATACAGTTTCTCTGATTGAACACTACAAAAGGAATAAAAACTCTTATTTATAAGCATCTTCACTCAAAAGAAAAATGTTTTAAAAATTATAATGATGAGTGCTTTTCAATTTTGGATTGTGCTAAAAACAAAATTGAATTAAAAATTAAAGAAAGCATTCATATAGGATTGGAAAAACCCGATATAAATAAACAAGTAAACTATGTTAAAATGACTCTTGATAATTTAATATGATTTACCGGTTTCTTTTGTTACATTTGGCATTTGTTAAAATAGTTTTTAATATATCTTTTTGTATATATAGGAAGTTTGTTTACAATTTTATGGCTTTTATTATGTTTATTTTTACTATTATATACTATATTTTATACCGTTTTTAACAAATATATTTTAACTGATGATGACTATAAATAGTCAAAACATCTCTTGATAAATAAAATGATTTGAAATAAAATTAAAAAATTTATCTTATTTTTAAAAGTAATATCACATTTTGTGCTGAAAAGAAGTTTTTGTAATATATCTATCTATCTATCTATCTATCTATATATATATATATATATATATATATATATATATATATATATATATATATATATATATATATATATACATATATATATATATATATATATATATATATATATATATATATATATATATATATATATATATATATATATGTTTATATATATTTATATGTATATTATATATATATATTTATATATATATATATTTTTATGTATATATACAAATATATAAATATATATACATATATACAAATATATATACATATATACAAATATATATATATATATATATATATATATATATATATATGTATATATATATATATATATATATATATATATATATATATATATATATATATATAAATAGTGAGATTTATATAAATGATAATCTCTATATCATTTATATAAACTATTTCACTATTATAAATAATATACAATTTTACCTTGTTTTGTTAAGATTGAAGGAATAATTGACTAATTTAATATCAACTAAACTTTTATATATTCTATAAATTTCGACTTAGCCACACCAGCCTATTGCATCCATTTGCATATAAAGCTTATTTTTTGATGCATTTCTCTATATATTTCTTTACCAAATCTCAGTGTCATTTCATTTCTTTAATATATAAGTATTTAAAATAATATAATTAAGAATATAATGAGTTTAATTTTTTGTAGACTTGTAGACTTCATATATGAAGTATATGAAGTTTACAAGATAACAGAGTACAAAATATTTTGGAAATATTAAATAGAAACTTACAACAGCATGAGCATGCAGCAGATTGACTAGATTCAGTTTTCTTAACAGAACATTGACTTGTTTTTGGTTCTTTAGTTGCCTGGTTGATATTTGTCTTCACAAATAATAATGTTTTCATCATCTTAAACATCTTTCAGTACATTACAATTATCAAAATTACATTTTGTGGTTTCTCATTCGAGCAACCAAACCTTGCATTTGTACACCACAGCTTTAACATTTAGCTTTATTACCCTTTTTACCAAACTTTGCAGGTATTTCTTTAAACCATTTTCAAAACTGCATCTACTATATCTACCAGCACCAGGCATTTTTATTTCTAGTTATATTATTTTTATTTACAAATAAAATATAACAACACTTATAAATGAATATTGTAATTAAAAAAAATTTGAAAATGCTCTTATATAAAAGGAATATATTTATATTTATTATATAAATAGAACAAAAGCAGAAATTAATGTAATTAGTCAATAAGTTAAAACATGAAGAAAAAAAGTTTACTTATATGGATAAAAATCTTACAATAAATTACAAAACTTAATGGTTTATATGACTACTATATATTTTATAATGCATTATATGATTATTATGACTAGTTCTAGTTAATGCAGTAGTTATATTTTAGCTAGTGTAATCTACTTATATTTTTTATTATTTAATCAATTTATAATTATAATTATAAATTGATTAATCAATTTATAATTATTTATTGATTAATCAATTTATAATTATAAATTGATTAATCAATAAATAATCATTAAAAGTAATTAAAATCAAAAAGGTCAATTTAAATCATGATTTTTATTTGTCTGATTAAAGTCATGATTTAAATCAATTTAAATCAATTTAAATCAAAACTGTTTATAAAAAATTTTAATTTGCTATTTATACCATTTTAAATAATTGTATATATATATATATATATATATATATATATATGTATATATATATATATATATATATATATATATATATATATATATATATATAAATATATATAAAGTTCTCACCTTTAGTTAAATTAGCTACCTATCTTTGTTAACCAAGGATACTGTATCACTAAAAGCAAGGTTAGGGAGGGGGTTGGGGGAAGGGTGCTTAAAGACACATTTTTTTGTCTCTATCTATGTGTTAATATAATTTTTTCTATTATTTTTACTTTAAATAATTTTGAGTAATAAAGTTTCAGTTTCATAATAATAATATATTGGCTTTTATTTACAGCAATAAATAATAAAAATCAAATTTATTTTATTATTTAAACTAAGTTAGATTATTTCTTTCCTTTAATTTTAAAAGTTCTACATATTATTATACTATTATTATTTCATAATAATACTTTTATTTTCCTAAAAATTGGTTTATGTTTTATGTGGGTGTTGGTTATGAGGGTGAGGTTTTATTGTTTGTAAAATGAGGTGTTGATTATGTTGTTTATATACTTTGCATTGTACTTATTTTTATTAAGATTTTCATGAAACTTTTTTTCTTTACTTTTAATTTTAAACAAATAATAATAAACATCACATAGAAAAAGTTATTTAAAACACAAGTTTCAAAGAGTAATATAGGTGCAGCCATCTTGTAGTATATATGTATCAAGCAGTTGATAATCACAAACTTTATTTGTTAAGCATATTGGCAAAGATTCATACTCTTTAACTCTGAATGCATTAAAAATATGAATAAAATGTGAATGGATGCATATGTGCATATATGCATATGTCACAAAGTAGCAGCTTACCACAAAATACCAAGAGTTGTCATAATTGAATAATATTTTGAAAAACAAAGGAATTTCTTCAGTTTTTAATAAAGATAAAATAAATGTATAGTGCAAATGAAACTGAATCCAATTTATATTACTAGCATTACATTTACAAACAGTTTCTTTTTTATCAAAAACATCCTGATATCTTGAACCCCGGATAACTCAAAATACTTTTGAGTTCCCCCTGAACCCTCACTAACACTTTCTCATAAAAATCACTTGATAACTCAAGCCCCTGATAACGCAAACATTCACCTGATAAGTGGAACTATTTTATTAGTCAGTGGCGATATTTAACCTATAACTCGATCTTTAAAAGTAAAATAACACAACATCTAATTAAAGTGATTAATTTTCTTTCATGAAATCAAATTTATTTGATTTTCTCCATATCACTCAAAAAAGATACTTTTACATATAGAATGTTCCTCAAACATTCGCTAACTCAAACTAATTTCTTGGCCCCCTAGAGGTTTGAGTTTTTGGAACTTTAATATATGTATATGTATATATATATATATATATATATATATATATATATATATATATATATATATATATATATATATATATATATATATATATATATATATATATATTTATTTATATTATACATTATTAATGTAATAATAATATTATAATTAATGTCATTACATATAAAATATATAATACATTATTAATGTAATAATAATATTATAATTAATGTCATTACATATAAAATATATAATATAATAAATATATATTATATACATTTATTAAGAATATATGTATATATATATATACATACATACACACACACAGTGTTTAAACACTTATATAATGGCTTGAAAATAAATTATATACATTTGTTAAGAATATATATATATATATATATATATATATATATATATATATATATATATATATATATATATATATATATATATATATATATATATATATATATATTTATATATATATATATATATATATATATATATATATATATATATATATATATATATATATATATATATATGTATATATATATATATATATATATATATATATATATATATATATATATATGTATATATATATATATATATATATATATATATATATATATATATATATATATATATATATATATATATATATATATATATATATATATATGCTATGAGCTGTTTAATTTTATTGTAATTATGTATAAGTTTTTTATTTATTTTATTGAATTTGTTTCAGTGCCATGTCATATATGGGATGCAGAAAAAAAAAATGAAAAAATGATGTGGAATGGTTGTGCAGCAAATGTTGTGAGCTATCTTGATGTTCATGCTAAAGGTAAATTTTTTGGTTTACATTTATTTTTACTTTAGCTATGTTTTACTAAGATTTTTATATGAGACTACATTTAAAAAAAAGTTCTCACCTTTAGTTAAATTAGCTACCTATCTTTGTTAACCAAGGATACTGTATCACTAAAAGCAAGGTTAGGGAGGGGGTTGGGGGAAGGGTGCTTAAAGACACATTTTTTTGTCTCTATCTATGTGTTAATATAATTTTTTCTATTATTTTTACTTTAAATAATTTTGAGTAATAAAGTTTCAGTTTCATAATAATAATATATTGGCTTTTATTTACAGCAATAAATAATAAAAATCAAATTTATTTTATTATTTAAACTAAGTTAGATTATTTCTTTCCTTTAATTTTAAAAGTTCTACATATTATTATACTATTATTATTTCATAATAATACTTTTATTTTCCTAAAAATTGGTTTATGTTTTATGTGGGTGTTGGTTATGAGGGTGAGGTTTTATTGTTTGTAAAATGAGGTGTTGATTATGTTGTTTATATACTTTGCATTGTACTTATTTTTATTAAGATTTTCATGAAACTTTTTTTCTTTACTTTTAATTTTAAATTTTAACTTAACTAACCTTTAATTTTTTTCAAAATTTACATGAAACTCTTTGGCATGCTTTAATTTTTTTTTAAATTTTCATAAAACTTTTTAGCATCCTTTAATTTTTTTTCTAAATTTTCATGAAACTTTTTAGCATCTTTTTTTTATAAATTTGATCTTAGATCAAACAGAATCCTTATAATCATATTAGATTTAAACAGAATCCTTATATTCATATAAGATTTAAACAGAGTCTCTATATTCATATGAGATTTAAACAGAGTCTCTATATTCATACCAGATTTAAACAGAATCCCTATATTCATATAAGATTCTAACAGAATCCTTATATTCATATGAGATCCTAACAGAATCTTTATATTCATATGAGATTTAAACAGAATCTTTATATTCATATGAGATTTAAACAGAATCCCTTTATTCATATGAGATTCTAACAGAATCCTTATATTCATGTGGGATAAAAACAAATAGTGGAAAATTTATTTAGATTTTCAATCTGTAAATAATAATATAATGTTTCTCTATAAATTTACTTTTATTGTTTATAAAATAATCAGGGTGGTCAGTAACCTTGACATCCTGCTTAAGTCTGGAAATTAAATAAATTATGCAAAACTTGTGGAACTTTGATTGATTTAGTTGCAGACTATAAGTTACTATTGAATTAAATTGACAATCAAAATAAAATAGACCTTTTGCTAGATAACGACATCATCATAACTATGCATTGCATTTTGGGATTACCTGGGAGCAAACAAAAGTTAAATTCGTAAATATCCTACTGTTTTCTAATTAGTTTTTTTAAAGTTGACCATTGTTATCTATTTGGTTTACAACTATTATTTTTTTTTATTTGCAACACTCTTTTGTAATGGGTAAGAGCAATCATTGTGCAATTTTTGGTCGTAACAAAGATCGTCGATACAAAGAAAAGTATGTTTTGAAAGATCAGATTTTGAAGACTTGGTTTCAGGGAATTAAAATTTTTTACTTGTAAAGAGAAATATTTTTCCACATGGAGTAAAATTATCAACAGAGTAATAGTTGACCCCTTAACAAAAAAAAGAAAGCTATATGCTGTAAATAAGAATACAAAAGTGCAAAATTTGCAAATCATTTTGAATATGGAATAGTTGACCCCTTAACAATAAAAAAAGAAAGCTATATGCTGTAAATAAGAATACAAAAGTGCAAAATGTGCAAATCATTTTGAATATGGAAAGCCAACTGAGCTATCCCCTTATCCAAGGTTATATTTGAAAGGATACAAAATATCTCCTCAAATTAAAAGGAAAGTACCAATGCCTTGATATACCTACTAAAGTTTCTAAAAAATATAAAAATACACATTTTTCAAGTACCTGACCACTACTAGTAGCAGCAACAATAATAACATTATTCCCCAACAGTCTTCTCTGTCAATATCTCCTGCATGTCTATCATCAATAGCATCTGATCAGCAACTTTCTCCATGACAACTCAATTTAATTACTAACACACCAGCAACTTATCTAACACCAACAAGATTTTATAAACAAAGTAGTCATAAAAGATTAACATATGAGGCAGTGCGTTCTTTACCCAAAGTCATAAAATTGTATACTGGGTGTCCAACTGAAAATGTTTTTTTATATATTGTTAGTTGAGTTCAAGCTAAACATAAAAAAGTTTCTTATTTTATGGATCATAAACGTTCATTTGATCCAAAGCAATATCAGTTTAGTCCTGCTAGTAAACCTTCAAATAGAGTTCTGTTGTTATACTGCAAATTTTTTTTATATTATAATTTGTTTGATAGGTTTTTAATTTATAGTGAAACAAATTCATATCGGTATATACAAACTATTCTATCAATTGTTTTAGGATATTCTGTAGCAATCAGGATGTGGTCGCCTATAAATAAATGAATTTATTTCACATGGCTCATGTATTTTTTGATGCTTTTCAACTTGTACATCCCATTGTTGTTTTTTGACATCAATTGTTTGAGGAACAACATTAGCTCTAATGTAACAATACCAAATACTGTCAAAAATGTTATTAAAGGTAACATCTTTAACATGTCCAGAATATTGCAAGTTTTTTCCTTCTCTAAATGCCTTCATCGCACTCTTATTTGTAGCATATTCTTTAATGATTTCTAAAGTCGCATTAGGAAGATATTGACTTGTTTGCCAGTTACTTTTTAAATCTTCAGGAATTGGAAGATGTACAATATCGTCAACAACTAACTTTCTTCGAGTGTTATTTATTCCATTAATACGATTATCAGTGGTAGGTAACAATAGTTGGTTTAAAGCTTCTGCCATAATAACTTTTTATATCAAAAGTGCTTTTCGTGCACTTCCTAAACCAAGTGGGACACCTCTTGATAATAAATACATTTATTATCAAGAGTATCAACTTATCTATTTTCCACCTTGACAAATCTACTGAAGTAAAAATTATATTAAAACAAATAAAAATAATAATCTAGGCTAATGCAATAATCACTGAATTTTCGCATAGAATTGTATATTAATTGGGTTTGTTTGCTCCAATGTGATCCCAAAATGCAATGGGTTTTATAATAGCGTTGTTATCTGGCGAAAGGTCAATTGAAAAAAATGTATTTTTAAAGTCTTATAATAACATCATTATTTAAAAGTCAATAAGAGCACTTGCTTTAAAAATGCTCTCATTGATGTATAAAATGATATACTCTCATTGATGTATAACATGATGTATTCTCATTGATGTATAAAATGATGTAATCTCATTGATGTATAAGATAATGTGCTTGAAATGATGTATAAAATGATGTGCTTGAAATGATGTATAAAATGATGTGCTCTCATTGATGTATAAAATGTACTCTCAAAAACTCTCCTGACTCAGAAAGTCAGGGAAATTTTATTAGTCAGGGAAAAGTATAAGATTATATAACAATAAAGTTATCAGGACACGCTGATTATATAACTTTACATTAATCAACTACACTCATATCAAAATAATTAAAGCCATTCATATTCAACATGCTCTTATCTAATAAAATGAGAGATCCTCGCAGTTATCTAATTAATGGAACCATTTTATACATAAGTTCTTCTATTTATGAACATTATGTATAAGAACATTTGAGTTCTGTCTAGATTTTGCATAGATATAGTCTTTTGTAAAAGCTAAGACTTATAATGTTGCCCCAATAGCATCTTTAATGTCGAGTTTCCTCTGTAGTGAATTAATAATAGTAAATTAAAACTCAAGCAGGTATAAAAGGCTTTATTCAGAAAGTTAATAAATATATAACTTAAAGATGTAATCAATATTTTACTTAAAAATACACAATAGTAATTGTATAATCAGTGATAAGAATCATCATGTGGCTATATTCTTGCTCTCTGTCAGCAAGAGTATAGCCACATGATGTTTATATTCTTGCTGACAGTTTATTCTGATATAGTAATCTGTCTGATAAACAATAACTCCAGTCAGTAGATAAAAAACTAATTACCCCAACTGTTTTTTACTATATACCAATTAGACTTTCAATGATATTGATATGTTTATAACTAAACCAAGTTTGTTATTGTGATGTTAAAAGTTTTTATTATATTGTGCTTTATAATAAAGATGGTCTTCCTTAAAACAAGCATGAGTTAAGTAAGATTTAACTTTTTTAAAGAATTACCATTTAAAATGTCTGAAAGAAAATACTTTTGTTCATCAGATTATCGGTATGAAATATGTTTACTTTGTTTAAGTCAAGCTAATGTTTAATATTGGATTTAAGTTTAGTACTGTATTTTTTAAAAGAAAAAGGTTTAATGTCTTCTTCCATAGATTTTTTTCTAAATTTTAAATTGACTTTTTAAAAAAGCCTTTATACTTCTTGAAAATATTCCTTGCAGGATTAAATTTAGATGTTTAGAAGTATTTTCTAACTTTTAAAACTTGTCCATAGTTTCCCTCATTAAACATATGTATATTTGTTTTTAGTGATGTACTGTTTTAAATATAAAAATTTATTTGATATGTGGCTAGAAAAGAAAGATAAAGAAAAGTAAATGTAAATGATTATGTCATTCAAATAGTTAGAAATGATCAAACAGAAATTAATATAAAAAATATTCAAATGAAAATTTGTCATTTGGCAGTTGTTTTTTTTAAACAAAATTTTAACAAAGAAACATAAATAATTCTTTGATTCTAAGGAATCAACAATAACAAAATAACAAGAAACTATTATTAGAAATTGTAATTTACAGATTACAAAGAGATAGAAATATAAATTTCAATTCTATTCAAATAATGACTTATAGTTTGCAACTAAACCAATCAAAGTTCCATAAGTTGCATAATTTATTTATTTTCCAGACTTTAGCAGGATGTCAAGGTTGCTGACTATTCTATTTATTTTAAAAACAATA